CCTGCCCGCAGAGTAGGAAGGCCCCTGCCTTCCACACTCACAGCGGCATTTCCGTTACTCATTTCCTTGGTGACAAACCATGGTGACTGGAGTGAAGAGGACTCTTAAATGTAGTTTTGATGTCAAACACCTTTCACCCACATACTTTTCCTTTGCTATTTATATTTCTTCTTTTGAAGTTTGTTCAATTCATGTGCCCATTTATTGATTGGATCTATATCTCTATATATGTGTGTATGTGTATGTATATATATATGTGTGTGTGTATATATATATATGCATATGTAGTATATGGATATGCATATACATAGAGTCTCACTATGCAGCTCTTGCTGCCTGTAACTTGCTATGTAGACCAGGGTGAGCTTGAACTCACAGAGATCTGCCTGCCTCTGCCTTCTGAGTGCTGGGATTAAAGATGTGCACCACCATGCCTGGCGTTTGCTTTGATTTTTGGTGTTTGGTTTTTCCGAGTTCTTCACAGATTCTAGATGTTAATCCCTGGTCAGATGTATGACTGGAAAAAGTTTTCTCTGTAGCTTGCTTTTCCTCCCCTTATTCTTTCGTCTTCAATGGGATCCCACCTGTCAATTGTTTTCTGAGCGGTTGGAGTTTTATCAGAAGGTCCTTCCCCAAGCGTGAATTTTAAGGTGCTTCCCCTGGACATTTCAAAGTTTTGGGTCTGACATTCAGATCTTCGCTTCATTTTGAATCGATTCTTCCCCAGGGTGAGACATAGGGAGCTGGTTTTGCTCTACTGTGGGCATCCAGTTTTCCCAGCACAATTCACTGAAAAGGCTCTTTTCTCCCATGTGCTGTTGGTGCCTTTGTTAAAGAGACTGTAGCTGTGGAGATGTGTTTCCGGGCCCTTTGTTGTAGTCTATGTGTCTGTGTTTATACAGGTTTGTTGTAAAGGTTTATTCTCTTTCTAATTGTGTTTACATGTGTGTGTCTGTGGGAGTGTGTGCACATGAGTGAAGATGCTCTTGGAAGCCAGAAGAGCGTGCTGTATCCTCTGGAGCTGGATAGTTACAGATGGTTGATAATCACCCCATAGGGGTGTGATGACCAACCTCAAACTCAGGTCCTCTGGAAGAATGATAGGTGCTTTTAACCACTGAGTCATGCCAGGAGGTGGTGGCTCATTCCTTTAGTCCCAGCACTTGGGAGGCAGAGACAGGTGGATCCCTGAGTTTGAGGCCAACCTGGTCTATAGAGCGAGCTCCAGGACAGCCAAGGCTACACAGAGAAAACCAAAAAATCCAAACCCAAACCCAAATAATAATAACAATAAGAAAAGAACCACTGAGCGTTCTGTTTAGCCCCAAGGCCAACAATCGTGAACCCTGTATCTAAAACTCTAAGACATTAGAAAAGGCATTTGGAATTATACCTCATTTTAGAAAACAGGGGCTAATTGCCTGGAATAAATGAGCAAAAGAAACAAAGAGAGGTGAAAGCCCACAAATATTAATACACATGAATAAGAAAATGTAGCATTCCTGTATAAAATGAAAACATTCTGTGCTTGCAAACATTAAGATATCATCTACCACTTCAGAATCACCTAAAATGCATTAAAAGGGATAGAAGAAAAGAAGTTATAAAAACTTAGGAATGAGTTAACAGAAATAAGACATAGCCACAGGAAATGTGAAGTTTAGGGGAAAAGCCAGTGTCCAGAGGAAAATTATATTCTGCAACCACACAATCTCGAAGTATCACTGAACACAATTCGGGAGCATATTAAATAGCATATAATGCCCCATGGAAGCTACTCACAGGAAGCCAGTGGTAATTTACTTCCTGCGAAGGGCTCCCATACATCTTGGACATCTGTGGTTTCCTTGGTAACAACTGAATGATGAAAGCCAGATGTGATGGTTCATGCCTGTTCTCCCGGTTTTGCGGTAAGGGGTTTGCTATGAGTTCGGGGGCAGCCTAGTTATATATAGTGAGTTGCAGGCAGGCCTGGGGTACAGAATGAGATTTTGTGTTAATAACAGCAAAAACCAACACACACACACACACACACACACACACACACACACACACACACACACACATACAGAAGAATCAACTAACTATCCAAGCAGGGTGGTCCAATTCCTTCTCCTTTAGAAGGATTTTGATTCTTCAGAACCTTGAAGTATTCAAACCCACTACAGTGAAAAAAAGTGGAGCTCTTCAGAGACTGGGGAAGAACATGTACTCATCAGCAGAACTCCTTCAGAGCCCAGGTGCCCTAACTTCTGCTGAGCACAGGAAAATCACAGAACTGAATGGCATAGTCATTTTCCAGGAAGAACAGATCGTGACTGAGCATGGTGTGAGCACGGAGTGTTTCCTTCCACCCTGTGAACCCAACAGAACTTAAAGGCAGTTCGCTCAGGGTTTAATTCTATATCCATTGCTTTGTGACTAGACACCTGGGGAATTCTGGGTTATCTCTTCAGCAAAAGGTGCAGAGTTAGAGAGCTTTGCTTTCCTTTGAGTCCTTCTGTGGCGACGGCACTCTCACCGCAAAGTGCGCCCTGCACTCCTGAGCCTCCCTGGGCGTTCCTACATAATGGAATCCCACACAGACAGTGTTCTCAAAGATCACTGGCCTCTGAGCACACCTGCAAGGCAGGAGTTGTTTCACAGGCTCCAGACACAAAGACTCTGTTGGAAGAGTTCTGCCCTTGGTTCAGTGCTCTCTGTGGCTTCAAACTTGTGTTCTGTAAAGTGAGTTCTGATGGGCTGTGGGGCACGCAGGTGCATAGGGGAGTGTGTGAGTCATGTGTCTGTCATGGTTTATACTGCCTCCGTAAGTACAGAGCATATGCAATGCCCTCATGCGCTGGATTCCGGTTAACAGCGATGCAAGGGAGTCCAACTATACATACCTAAAGTGGGGAAATGTTTGGTATATAGCCTCCAAGATGGGGGTAAACTGGGTCTCCAGCAATCCCAGGGAGCCAGGATTTTCTATGTGACCCAGAACTTGCTTCAAATGTCATGGATGTTCCAAGAAGCATGAATGACTGAAGTATCCAGTATGTATAAATTTTTTGAAGTCTATAACTGGGTGTGGTGGTGCTTGACTTTAATCCCAACACTGGAGAAGCAAAAGCAGGCAGATCTCTGTGAGTTCGAGGTTAGTATGGTCTATATTGTGGGTTCCAGGCTAAACAAGGCTATATCTAAAACAAAATGACTTAAAAAAATAAAACCAAAAACTCAAACCAAACAAACTGAAACTCAAACCAAACAAAAATAGCAAAGTGAAATAAAAATAATTGAGCTTGTTTTGTTTTTTTCCCACTGTTTGATAAGAACAAAATAATATGCATACGTGAGCTACAAAATACAGATGATATCATTTTAGAGTTTTGATTTAAAACGGGGATTTCATGGCATAAAAACAAGTGATTAATGTATACGATAATCTAAAATTTATTTTTTCTTTTTACTTAGAATGACATTAAATAGCATAAGGCCATAAAACTAAAGCCAAAACAAGAAAAAAAACCTTCTCCAAACAAAATCATAAAAAAAAACCAGGATAAATCAAGAACATAATTAAAAAAGCTGGGCATGGTGTTGCACGTCTTTAATCCCAGTGTAGGCAGAGGCAGGAGGATCCCTGAATTTGAGACCATCCTGGTCTACAGAGCAAGTTCTAGGACAGCCAGGTCTACACAGAGAAACCCTGTCCAGAAAAACAAAACCAACAAAACAACAACAAAGAACGTAATTAAGGAAAAAGCAAAGAGTATCATATTCTAGACCCTTCAATGTCATCAGTTTTGAACACGGGGACCTCACACTTTCATTTCAAGTTACGTAGCTGGCCCTGTGTGTTAAGAAGCCATCTCCTCATAACTTCTAGAACTTGCTTCATGTGGTGCATTTGGGCAGAAATTTTGTAAGCATTTGATTATTTTCTCCACTCCTTTGAACTCCCGTGGAGCTGTTGGGTTGTTGGGCGGAATGGAGCTTCCCAACAAAATCAGGAAGACACTTGAGAAATAAAAGAACAGCTCTCCTAAGGCAGAACCACTCAGTGACCTTGGAGGTCACACACTTCACGAGAGTTTGAGTCTTAGCACAGGTCTTGGTGTGGGGAAGGATCAAAAGCTGGCATGATGTGTTTTTGTACAGTAGTCCCAAGGTAAGACAGGCTTTTTTTTTTTTGCCTGCATGTATGTCTGAGTACCACATGAGTGCGTGGTGCTCGAGGAGCCCAAAGAGAGAAAGTTAGATCCTTTGGAACTGGAGTTAGAGATGGTTGTGAGTCACATGTGGGTGCCGGGAATTGAACCCCAGTGCTCTGGAAGAGCAGCCAATGCTCTTAATTGCTTAGTTCCCAGCTTATACATTTTAAATGGTTGAAAACATGGAAAGAATAATGTTTTCATGAAACATTAAATTATTTGCAATTCAAAAATCTCAGTGCCTCTAAATAAAATTTTTATCTAAAGTAGTTGTGCCCGTCAACCTATGGCTCTTTCTTTTAAAAGAAATTATAAAGCTGAGCAGTTGTGGATAGACCTAGGGTCTGCAATGCCTAAAATATTTCTGTCTGGGCCTTCCTGGGGAAAAGATTCTATAATCTATTTTGGAAAGGTCACTAACACGTGCTTCGTTGTGGTAGATCTGTTCAAAGATTTTTTTTTTTTTTTTCCGGTCAGACTGGGAATGGTATCCTAGTTTGTGGATAATCTTGACATAGATTCTTGACAAAAATACACGCGCCATCTAGTGGTAGACTGTGCCAGTTGCAGGAGAATTTCTGAACGTTCCCAGATAGTTGGCACCTATGCAGACATGGTGGGATTTAAAGACTATGCCTAGGGAATATTTAATACTTATATGCCATGTGATTGTACTGATAGTTGTTGAAAACTAGAGTGAAATTCAGTGGAAACGTTTTCCATAGGGTCTTCTTAAGGAAAAAAAAATAAATCACAACTCATTATTAACCACCAGCAAAGGGAATGTGTGCCCATCAATTATTTTGTTTATTTGGAACAGAAACACCCAACATCATGCGAAAGAAAACAGGTATATTTTGTCTAAGGTCACTCATCTGTAATAGTAGAAAGCGTTTCAGTTCTCCCTGAGATGTAGAACAGTGCCGCTGTGTGGGCTCCGCCCCGGAGTTATTCTCTCCCCTAGTGTGAGAGTTAGAAGGGAACCCTCTGTTCAGCCTTCCCGTTGCTCATCTTGGACATCTTTTCCTCGATGGAGTGGATCCTCGACGACAGAACCTTTCCACGCTGATCTATTTCTTCAACCACCGTCTTGACCAGTGTGGTTTTGGATAGATCTAGAGAAGAAAGCACAGGTGAATGGTGAATTCTTCCCAATGAATAGCGTGAGAGGGGAGCCCAACGTCGCACACATCAGGGAAGGAGTGTTGGGGTTTATAGTAAGATTTTGGGGGTGTCTGGAGAGCATGTCCAGTGGTTAGAACCACTTCACGGTAGAGTTGGCTACCATGTGTGAGAGCTACTGATGGGAAGGGATTTTTCCGTTACAGAAATAAAACGAGGTTTTCGTTACCTTTGGGTGAATTCCCTGAGCTCCCAGATTCAAAGCCCTTTGCGCTGGAGCAGGAACTGAAACAGAGAAGAGTTTATTATTTTACACGGGTGCTCCTGGTCACTTTGGAAGCTTTTCATTGAGATACCGACTCAGCAGATCTCAGTTTTTACTATTGAAGAAAATATGATTTTGTGTGCAGGAGCAGGAAGTGATTACAAGTTATCTAAAGAGAGGATTTTTTTTAAAAAAAATCTTATTTCCATTTGCGTTTTTTTCTTTTGGTGGTGGTGGTGATGGTGTGTGTGCATCTGTGTGATTGTGTGTGAATATGTGTGTGAGTATGTATGTGCATGAGTGTGTATGTGTGTGAGTGTGTCTGTGTGTGTGAATATGTGTGTGAATATGTGTGTGAGTGTGTTTGTGAGTGTGTATGTGTGTGTCTGTGTGTGTGAATATGTGTGTGTGTGTGTGTGTGAGTGTGTTTGTGAGTGTGGGTGTGTGTAGGCTGGCATCAGGAATCCTTTATTGTTCTCAGCCTTAGTTTTAAAGAGAGATTTATTTACTTTTATCTTACGTGTGTGTTACCTGAGTGTACGCGTATGCACCACATACAGGCAGTGCTCTCAGAGGTTGGAAAAGGGCCTCAGTTTCCCAGGAACTGGTGTTACATGTGACAAGCATTTACCTACTGAGCCGTCTTCCTAGTCCCTCCCATTTGATTTTTTAAATCCAAGAATTAAACACTTAAGACATATGTACTAGCTTAAGAGAGATAAATATAAAATATGCAATGTCCTAGGAGCCACACATCCATATAGAATGTGTCCTGGGGGCCATGTTCAGGGGCTTGGGGGAGGGGCAGGGGCCAGGAAAATCTTGAAATCACAATGCTTAACATGGACAATAGTGAGGAACTTGTGCAGGAATGATGGGAGCCATTTGAGGCAGATAAGGGGGCTCTGTACAAAAATATAGAGAAAATGATTCTAGAAGCAAGAGAAAGACATGCGCTTGTACAGCGGGAGAGAAAAACGGCGGGCTAAAAGTGTGGCGGGCTCAGGGGTAGAGCGTGGCTGTTGTGGGGAACGTCCCAACGGTCTTACTTTCCATCTCCGTCTATGAGGCGGCAGTAGGTGTCGATCTCCTTCTCCAGGTGGGCCTTGATGTCCATCAGCTGCTCGTGTTCCAGTTTCTGACCCTCGGTCTCGGTCCTGACCTGGTGCAGCTGCTCCTCCAGGGCGCTGATCTGAGCCTGGATGTGAGCCAGCTGCGAGCAGTAGTTGCCCTCGGTCTCCGCCAGGGAGCACTCCAGCGAGTGTTTCTGAGACATCAAAGAGCATAGCAAGGGATGGAATCACCGGCGGAGTACCTAGCCCTGGGCTTCTCAGCATCTGCAGGACCACTCCCCAGGCAAGTAGGGGCCTGCCACAATAAGACAGGAGGTGGAGCCTGGCGTTAACCAGGTGGTGAACAGGCACTGGATGACCCCCAAGACTTGGTGTATTTTAACATTTACTTAGGGGTGTGTGTGTGTGTGTGTGTTGGGGGGCAAGGATGTGTCACAACAATCGTGTGGAGGCCAGAGGACGACCTGCAGGATTTGGTTCTTTCCTTCCACCGTATGGGTCCCCGGGATCAAACTCTGGCTATGGGCCTTGGCAGCAGGTACCCTTACCCACTGAGTCATCTCACCGGCCCCCTAGAAGATATTTGACTGTTAAGATTTTGGTAACAATTTCTGTTAAGACCAACATGTATATAAGAGCACTTTGTGGGGGGGGCAGGACAGTAAGAAATCCACAAGAGATGATTTATACTTGAAAATTGTGTTTTTTTCGGGGGGGCTGTTATATCCAAGTCTTACTCCTTAACATCCCATTCTTCATGCTATTCTCATCCTATTCCCATCCTATCCTCATCTTATTCCCATCCTATTCCCATCCTATTCCCATCCTATCCTCATCCTATCCTCATCCTATTCCCATCCTATTCCCATCCTATTCCCATCCTATTCCCATCCTATTCCCATCCTATTCCCATCCTATTCCCATCCTATTCCCATCCTATTCCCATCCTATTCCCATCCTATTCCCATCCTATTCCCATCCTATTCCCATCCTATTCCCATCCTATTCCTCATCCTATTCCCATCCTGTTCTCATCCCATTCCTAGGCCTGCTGGGCTCTTGTTTCCTTTTCTGACCCGTCCCCGATTTTCCATCACTCACCGAAGCCCCCTTTTTAAAGCAGTTAAGATGGAATGAGTCCTTTCACAGGGTGGGCTGTCAAGGCCAGTGCTCATAACACGCAGGTCGTCGTCGTCGTCGTGTCCACACCACTCCTATGCACATCCTGCTTCCTCTCGCCTTCCATAGACTGTAATTTGTCCCGCCACCTGATCCCTGCCCAGCTGTGGCAATTTCCCTCTTTCTCTCACCATACATAAATATATATGTCTGGGTAGTTATTACTTCTGATATCAGTCATTATCAGAATGTCCACCACCTCTTCCGCTCCCTCAATTTCCTCTTCTTGTGTGATGTGATAGTGGCTCTTACGTCACAGGAAATGAAGCCTGGATTAGAAGGAGATGCAAGGCTCTGCCTGGCATTCTTGAAGGCGATTTGGCTCAATGTGTACAAAATAAATGCATTTTGTTTTAAAATGCTTTCTTTTTATCTTTCCGTGTGTTGTGTGTGTGTGTGTGTGTGTGTGTGTGTGTGTGTGTGTGTGTGTGTGTGTGTATGTGTGTGTGTGTGTGTGTTGGCCAAAGAACACCCTTGGATGTTGTTCCTCAGGTGATATCTACTCATTTGTTTAATCATTTTTTTTTGTTTGTTTGTTTTCGAGACAGGGTTTCTCTGTGTAGTTTTGGTGCCTGTCCTGGAACTCACTCTGTAGACCAGGCTGGCCTCGAACTCACAGAGATCGCCTGGCTCTGCCTCCGAGTGCTGGGATTAAAGGCGTGTGCCACCACCGCCCAGCTTAATCATATTTTACAGTCAGCCTGGGGCTCTCTGATTCAGCTAGACTGGCTGGTCAGTGGGCCCCAGGGGTCCCCCTGACTCTACTTCCCAGCATTGGGATTACAAGCTCATGCCACCGTACCTGCCTTTTTTTTTTTTTTTTAAACATGAATTCTAAAGATTAAACTCATAGCCTTGTGCTTGCCTGGCAAGCCCTTTACCAACTGAGCAACCTCTCAGCTCCTTGTCTTTCTTCTTTATTGCAATAGTAGTGTTATCATTTTAAGGATGCTTTTGTATAATGCCAAATATATGATCTATTGATTCAACCCTAGGATCACAAAGGAGGAGCTAGGTAGCAAGATATTCGTCACAACAGGCAGGCATCGGTCTCACTGGGCTGAGACTCTTAGGACACTGACTGACACTGGCTGCTGCCTTTGGAGAGGCTGCTGGGCTCTCCAGGAGCCTTCGAGCCGAAGGTGACCAGTGTGGTCATGACAAATAGCAAGATGTCAGGGAGGGCTGTACCCACAGTTCAAAACCTTAATGCCTCACTTCCCTTCACTGGGTATTCCTTTATATATGACTAATACCCTGGGAAGTCAGAGGGGGCAGGATCTCTCAGCTGCTTCCACAGGGAAGGTTGGGTGCTGACGAGAGAGGACCAGATGAACTTGGAAGTTCCCATAACACAGGAAGCAACTACTTACATAAATAACTCCCAACCTCTAATTGACTTGTGTTCTACCTGTGGGAAACTGAACTTAGAATTTATCTTGACCAAGAGTCTCAGGTATGGAAGCTAGGCTAACCAGTATCACTCTATAATTTGGTTACACTGGCTGTTAAATGGATTTTTGGGGGGTTAGTTATTTCCTGACCCCAAAGCATTACTTCCAGGATGGGTGATCTGAACCTCGAATCTAATTGCTTCATGATTTCATTGCTTCTCTGTGAAAATGGTTATACTGGGTGGTCTGAACCTAGACTCTAACTGCGTCATGATGTCATTGTTGCTATGTGAAAAGGCTTCTAATTCTGATGCGGGAATTTGAGAATTTATTTTCCACGCTGTTTTTCAGAAACACAGGGAGAAGTCACCCCTGCAGCAGGAGAAGATTGTTCAGGGTTTTGATGGTTCCAGGCATGAGAGGATGCGGAAGGAAGGTCTAGAGAGCCAGCTATGCTGAGGGTGAGGGCAAGAGGGGCATGCTGGGTAAGCTGGGGCTCAGCCAATGGTAAGAACACATCTTCTGTCTAAATACTACTCAGAGACAGAACATAGAACCTGTTCTATGTTTTAAGGTTGCTAAATCAAAAGATCTTTCTAGTAGACTGAGCCATGGTGTCCTTCGTGAGTGGCTTGCTGTTCTCATTTGCATAATAACTATTTCTTTGTTTATGTGACACCCTACCATCCCCAGAGATTACAAAAGGTCTTGTGGAGACGGGGAACCCTTGGGCTACATGCTTGCCACAATTCTCAGCGTCAAGCCTTCTGGATACTGCCAGCTCACAGTCCTGACCAAAAGCAGGTTTTAGAACTGGGTTGTTTCCGTGGTAACCATTGAAGTCTTTGCGATGTCCCGGATGTGCCTATGAGGCTGAGTGCCACAGGCTCTGTAGGGTGTGTGCTATGGAATGAGAGCTTTTCTGTGTGGGGTGTGAGGACAGATAGTGCCCGTGTCGAGGTTGGTGTTTACCTTTAAAAAAATTTTTATGTGTATGGGTGTTTTGCCTGCCTGTATCTGCATGCATGGATGCAATGCCTGCAGAAGACAGATGCCTTGAGGCTGGAGTTACAGTCAGTTGTTAGCTGCCCTGTGGGTGCTGGGGATAGAAGTTGGGTCCCCTGGAAGAGTGGTAGGTTCTCTTAACTGCTGAGCCCTGTGTTCCCTTTCTGTCTACGGTTTTCTCAGTGTTAGGAGATATTGGTGTGACCCATCCTGACCTGTGTGATCAAATAACGCTGGTCCTATCCCTTAATATTTTAGCTGAAACAACATTGCCCAGTTCTGGGGGTTGAATTAACTATGCTCAATGAACTATACTCAGAGGGGAACTGGGTTGCCAGGCTGGTTATTTTAACAAAATAAACTCTGGGCACTATCCAGGAAGGAAATCACGGTGTCAAGAAGTCTGTGAGGAAGACCGCCTCTCTTTCTGTTTCCTGGGATGCCTTTCCTGCTATCTTCCCCTGTCTCTGGTAAGCATTTATTTAGGGAGGAAAAGAAGGGCTTCTCATAGGTTTTGGGGACTCATGAAGCGCAGGCGGCCTGGTGTCAGCACCTACCGTTGCTGAGAGAGACTGCAGCTCAATCTCCAGAGTCTGCAGTGAGCGCTTCAGCTCTGTCAGCTCCGTCCTGGCCGAGGTGGCTGCACCCATGTCATTGGAGATCTGCTGCTGCAGCGTGGCGCTCTGGAAGGCAGGGTGCACAGGGTCACACTGAGTCTGGCCTGCTAGCGTGGAAAAGACAGAGCAGGTCTGGCTCCCCTCACCTTCTCCTGGAACCAGGCCTCGGCATCCCGGCGGTTCTGCTCCGCCAGGCCCTCGTACTCCGCTCGCATGTTGTTCAGCAGGACGGTGAGGTCCACGCCCGGGGCTGCGTTCATCTCCACGTTCACGTTGCCTCCCGCTGAGCACTGCAGAACCTTCATTTCCTGGAAGTGAAGTGCAAGTGACTGTCCATATGCTACCTGAGAGGGTTTTACAGGTCCCAAAGTCCCCAGAGTAATGTGTCCTTTATGGGTCCTATTTAGTCTGTGTTCACACCAGTCCTCCATCTTTCTGACCATTCTTCCTTCCATATTCTATCCATCTATCCATCCGTTCTTCCTTCCTCCTTTCCTTCCTTCCTTCCTTCCTTCCTTCCTTCCTTCCTTCCTTCCTTCCTTCCTTCCTTCCTTCCTTCCTTGTTTTTAAGAGACAGGGTTTCACTCTGTAGCTTAGACTAAGCTAGAACTTGCTCTGTAGACCAGGCTGGGCCTTGAACCTGGGGATCATCCTGCCTCAGTCTCCCAACTGCTGTAATTATAAAGTTGAACCACCAGCTAGGTGGTGGTGGCGGTACATGCCTTTAATCCCAGCACTTGGGAGGCAGAGGCAGGTGGATCTCTGTGAGTTCAAGGCCAGCCTGGTCTACAGAGTGAGTTCCAGGACAGCCAGGGCTATACATAGAAGCCCTGTCTCAAAAAACAGACAAATAAAAAAGTTGAAGCACCATACCAAGCCCAACCATACCAGGGGCCAGTGAGATGACCCAGCTGGTAAAGGTGCTTGGGGCCAAATCACCTGAGTTCAATCCCTGGATCCACAGGATGGAAGGGGAGAACCATCTCCTGAAAGCTGTTCTGACTTCCACAGACATACTGTGGCATGGCATGGTCCTCCCCCCACAAACAAATAAGTAAAATGTAATAAAAAAAAAAAGACAACCATATCTCCCCACTTAAAAAATATGAAAGGATTACAAAGACCAGTGAATTTATTCAACAAATAATTGTCAACTTTCAGGTTGATGGACTAGAGTGGTGGAAACTACTCTCCCCCCAAAGTCCCAGCCATTGTGGTTTTTCACCTGTGGGACACTAACTGTCATTTATTGAGTGACTACTGGATGTGGACACTGTTCTGAGCATGTGCTAAAAGCCTGAGCATCTTTAGGAAGCAGACAGTCTCTTCACAGATTAGGATCCTAAGGCACAGAGCAGGGAAGAAACAGGCCTAAGTTGCTTGCTGGGATCTGGTCAGACGGGAGAATGAACAGGGCTCTCCGACTCCTGAGCACTGGTTCTTAGTGGCTCCCCTCTCCAACTTTGGCACTCAGGAGTTTGTCTAGGATGGTACTGTCAGTCTGTCCTGTGGGGTTCTCAAGCAAAGCGACAATCCCCACTGGTTCATGGAATAGCTCACCTTTTCATCTGAACTGAAACCATATTGCAAAAATGGTTGATTCTCAGGTTTCTCTCCTAGACCCTGCTGACAGCCCAGGCTGGCCTCCAGTTCACAATCCCCTGCCTGCCTCCACCTCTCAAGTACCAAGATTATAGCAGTGTACCACCATGCCTGGTCTACTTCGGTTTTCTTAAACCAGATTTTGGTGTCATTTAAATCTGACTTTCTAGTTAAGAATACACACACACACACACACACACACACACACACACACACACACACACGTTACCCCTGAAAAGCTGCTACTAACTTATTTCTGTACTTTGAAGTTCTGTGTAAGATTCCATATAAAGGAAAATTCTTGTTGCGGTGGAGTTTCGAAATCAAATTATTTGCAGTTAGCACCCGCCACAGAGTGCGGTAAAGGCTCTCAGGGGTCATAATGTGGGTGGCTTTTCACCCCACGCCCAGTGCAGTTCAAGCCGCCTTCTTTCAGTTGCTGTGACTTTAAGGGGACATAGATCCCACTGTGCTCCAGGCCCTTCCTCTGGTTATCTTGTTTGGGGGTTACTCTCCTGCCAACCAACACACCCTAGTGGCCTTATTCTTCCAGTGCTATGCTGTATGACACCCTTCTCCTTTCTAACTTTCCTTCCTTCTCTAATGTTCTTGTGGGAGGCAAATAGGTTCCATGTGTGATTTCCATGAGCACAGATGAATGCTGGGATTGCAGCACCTTCCCTTCTTACAATTTTCACCCACAGAGTTGTGACAGGACTTAGGTGAAGCGTCTCCTACCTCTTCGTGGTTCTTCTTGAGATACGTCATCTCCTCACTCAGTGATTCATACTGCAGCTCCTGGTCCGTTCTGCAGAGGGTCAGCTCATCAAGGACACGGCGCAACCCATTAATGTCTGCCTCCACATTCTGGTGTAGGGTGAGTTCGTTTTCATACCTTGGGGGGAGGTGAATTTAAATGAATTTCAGTGCAAGTTAGACCTCTCCAAGAACCTGAAGGTGTCAGCCTCAACCCAATGTCAACTCGACATCTGAAACCGAATCAGGACTCTAAATAGTATAAAAATCCACAGAAGAAGCTCTGTGTGGTAGCCTGTGTCTGTAATCCAAGAGCTCAGGAGGCTGAGGCAGGAGGATTGTGAGTTCTATACCAGTCTGGGCTACCTGGTGAGACCGTGTTGTAAAACAAAACAGCTATGCACAGACGCTTCCTTTGGTCTACACAGGACGATGAGCCGCTAACCAATCACACCGATTCCAGTGCCTGTCACTGTTACTCCAAAGCACTCCTTTCTGTAATCTTACCTAAGTTAACACTCTTATGGAATGAACACTAGCCACTGAACTATGGTTACTTTGTGCTTGGTATTATTTTAGGCAGGCCTGGAGCTACGAGGACAGTTTATTCCATGGATGCAATGAATACATTACATTTTGACTCAAGTTCACTGTTGTTTTGGATCAGAAATCCTTTGATTCCTTTACTCTTTGGGGTTATAATTTATTTTACTTGAGGTGAAAAGGAAACATTTTTTTTTTAAACAACATAGACTGACCGGAACTTCATTTTGGGGCCATGACTATCATTTGTTGCTTACTTTAGTCGGAAATCATCAGCAGCCAGTCTGGCATTATCAATCTGCAGAATTATATTAGCATTAGCAGCCGTGGAAGAGATAATCTAGAAGAAATTAAATGGGAGTTAGCAGAAATAAATTTGCTTTTGTTATTTATTATTTAAGAAATAATTAAGCCTTTGCATCAATTTTTAATTTAGGCAATTATGAAAATATTTAGAATTTAATTTTTAAAAAAGTAGCAATGTTTTAAATTTGTTCTCATAATTGTCTTATGTTTAGAATAAAGTAATTTATTACCTATAAATGTATTTCAAAATAAACAGTGGGAATTAACATTTTAGGTACATTGAAATTCATGAATCAAGGTTCCTAACTTTGAGTAATGAGGGTTATTTATTAAAATTAAATACAAATTAGAGAACAGCCATCACACATTCTTCTTTGTGATTTGGCTGGAAGTTATTAAGTTTTAAAATTTTGACTAGCTCCAAGTTTGTGATTTTTACCTTGCTTTTAATTTATCCATGTATTTTTTTTTTTATGTTTATGAGTGCTCTATCTTCATACACACCAGAAGGAACCTGATTCCATTACAGATGGTTGTGAGCCACGGTGTAGGTACTGGGAATTGAATGCAGGACCTCTGAAAGAGCAGTCAGGTGCTCTTAACCTCTGAGCCATCTCCCCAGCCCCCTTACCTTGCTTTTAAGGTCCTCGATGGTCAGATGATACCGGCTGTAGTCATTATCAAGTCCACGGCAAGATCCGGGTCCGTATTTCTCATGCCAATTCTTGATCTGTCTCTCTAGCTCGGTATTTGCCTCCTCCAGGGCTTTCACATTATCCAGGTAAGAGGCCAGGCGGCTGTTAAGATTCTGCATGGTGACCTTCTCGTTCCCAGAGAGGAGACCCCCTTCATTTCCAGAGAAGCCAACAGCAGCAGCATTTCCCAGGGCACCGGTGGCATGGCTCCCACCAGGAGCACCGCTCAGTGTCCCTCCTAAGGCCCAAGAAAATCCACTACCGGTAGCCGAACTGCCGCCGCCGGCGCTGCTGCCTGCAAAGCCTGCTCCTCCGCTGGGTGGCCTCAGGGATCCGGACTGCAGGCCAACGTGCCTGGATCCGCCAGAAAACCGGAGAGACATGGTGCCGGGCCTAATGTTCCGCTTGTCTGTGGGCAGCTGTAACTTCAAAGGAGAACAAAACATCACCGGCTTGTGGGTTCTTTGAGCTTTTTATACACAGATAATGGGGGTTGTCTCGAGTTGAGCGGTGTCTGCCGAGAGAGAAATGGCATCATTTAGATTAGCATGAAATGATGTATAATTGGGCGATTTAAAAAATAATTAATGCCTAACATCCCCCGGTGTTGCTTCAGGATATTTGTTATCGTGCATAAAGTAGGGCTTAGTTCTATATTAAGTTCATTATTTTGACTTTTAATTTTGAGTGAGTAACCCTTTTCTTTCATCTAGAGACCCTATGAACATACTGTTATTATCTAGCGCAGGGGCTAATAGAGTGTTGAAGGCTAAGTGGGACTGAGATAGGGCCCCGTCTGCCTGGCTCACCACGAAGGTGGATGCAGGATTATTAGATACAGAAACAGGTATTTTATCCCATGAGAACCAAAAAGCATGTAATTTAAATAACTATATCCTTGGTAATTTGCCCTTCTTTCCATAGCTATGACACCTATGTATTGTCTTGACTGATGACACAGTGTATGGGTACTATGTCTAGTGTACTACGTTAAACACAGAAATGGAAGATGTGGAGCTAAATAAATGTAGAAACGAAAAGATATTTTTTATAGTCTTTAGGGAATTGTTAGTTCCAGACAGAGGCTGGATTCTGTTTAGCTTTGTGTGCTAGACCAAGGAGTTTGGGATGAATCTTAAGTAAAGAGCAGAGAGAAATATCAAGTTGATTCTGAGAGAAGAGGAAGTGGTCTACCTGGGGGGAGGAGCCCTCTAACTGGTGATCCGATACCAAGTGGTCAGCCCTGAAATCATGTACACGCAAGCCACACTGAACAGACACAGCAGCTTGTATTTGACATATGTGTGCATATGTATGTAACAATAACAATTAAAGAAGAGGAGGTCAGGAAGTGATAGGGAGTAGGGGTGAGGGGTGGAGTGGGTGTGGGAGGAGTTGGAGGAAAGAAAGGGAACGGAGGGAAATGATGTAATTATTTTTTAATTAAAAAGTAGCAAAAGGACCAAGTTGAAACGAGTTGATAAGGCTAACTACAGGGGTAGCAGAGCGGTCCAGGTGGGAAAGATGAACGTGGTGATGTGTAGAATAGGGTGGGGTTGAGAGGGAATGGTAATTGATTGACATTTGAGAGTAAAGGAAGAAGTGGGATTTTTTTTTTTTCCTGACAGGATCTTACTATGGATCAAGCTTGGAATTTAATTAGTGATTCTCCTGCCTCAGTTGGCCAAATACCATTATAACAAGTATGCAGTGACTGGGGCTGACTCTGATAATTAATTTCAGATGCCGGAAATCATAATGTTCACTGAGATGGGATTATGGCGGGAACACTAAGTTTACTTTTGGATGAACTGAATTCGTGAGGTTGCTGGGATACCCTAGATAAAGATGGCTGCTGATAGAGAAAACCCTCCATGTTTAGAGTAAGCTCATTGCTCTGGGCAAATGCCTGGCCAGCAAGGTGTAAAGAGATTGCTAGGCAGAGTTGAGGGTCTGGTTCTCATTTCAGCTGATGTTCAATTATGTATTTGGAAGGAATCCTGTGCTGGATTATACAGGAGGTTTGGGGGGATCTAAAGGCAGGAGTGAGAAGGAGAGGGTGCCAAAGAAATTCCTGGTGCTTTAGAGAAAATGACTGGGCGACTGACCGCATAATTATATAGAAAGAAGAAATGATATCAGAGGGACAGGTAGGCTGAGGAAAGAATTTGGGTCATTGAACGTCTTTATGTCACAGAGGAGGAAAGAGTGAACATGACATGGATAAAGTTGAGGGAAGGCTGATTAAAGTTGCTTTGTTAATCTGTTTTCCTTTGCTTGAACAAGACAACTGAAGCTGACTATTTTGTAAAGAAAAGAGATCTATTTTGCTGACAGTTTTGAATGTTGAAAATCCAAGATTGGGTAGCACCATCTTTTCAGCTTCCGGTGAGGTTCCCTTTGTCTGTATCATGATGTGGTAGAGAAATGAGAAGGGAAACAGCCATGTGAAGAAGGAGCAAGGACTTGCCGATGGCCTTGCTTTAAAAATGGCCCTTTCTCAAGAGCTGCCTGGGTCCCACAAGCAAACCTGGGTCAATCCTCTTTGAGGCAGTGCCCCTAATGAACAGTGAACCAACCATCTTCCACTATGTCCAACCATGGAAAGGTCCGACTTCCTCAAAACCACCACACCAGGGACCAGGTCTCTAGCACATAGGCCTTTAGAAAACTTATATAAACCACCTTCAAACTCTAGCAATTGGAGGGTGGAGACCAATGTACAGAATTTTAAAACAGGTAGAAGCCCAGATGTCCAAGTCCAGGGACCAGCCATGAGGACTGGATTCAACATCATTGGAATGAAAAGTCAGGAGGAGATTAGGCTCCAAAGTCATTGAATACTAGACCAGGAACTCCTGGACGTGAAGTGTCTTGTGATGTCTGGAGGTGGGCAGGAAATGGACCATCAGCCAGTTGCTGACATCTTTGGATGGTGGGCTAACAAGAGTATGTGGTAAGGGGCACTTGGGTGGCATTCTTCCTCAAAAGAATTTTAGCATAAGGATTTAGTGGCACAGGCCTAAGGGCTGGATCAGTGGGTGAAAGTACTCACTCTGCAAGCGTGAGGCCTGAACTTGAGTCCCCAGAACCACATAAAAGCCAGACTAACTCCAGCAAGTCTACAGGGGGCTGGTGGGTGGAGACAGGAGAATCCCTAGAAGCTCGTGGGCCAGCTAGTCTGACATATGCAATGGGAGAAGCCAACCGAACTAACACAAAAACCAACACAAAGAGAACCTGTATCAAACAAAGTTGAAGATTAACACAGGACCTATGACCTCTACATGGATTATCCTTTGACCTCTACATGGAGGCCATAACATGTACAAGCCTGAATTATACACACACACACACACACACACACACACACACACACACACACACACACACACAAATGCATGCACACATACATCACATACATATACACACAAATAAAAAAGAATTAAGCGGCACAAAGCTGGGAGTAGCATTGGAGATGGAGAGATTTGGACTTATATTATCTTATATTGTCTGAAAGTCCATAGATGGGGTGTGTGGAAGTGGGAGGGGAAGGAAAGATTCAGGGTGGTGCTGGAGGACAGAGAGAAGATGGGAGTGGGAAAATGTCAGGAGAGAGACCAGAGCAGGGCTGGGTACTAATGAGAGGCTTCTGATAGATGACATGGTGGTGGATAGCTGTTCTGTCTATGACCTTGTAAAACCAGCCCTAGAGATATAGCAGGTAACTGTCCTACTTACCCATGACCTTGAAGTACTGGGGCATGGCTTGGGGCTACCCTTGAGACCTGAGACATAGACCACTTGCTCTCTCTCCCTTGTAGGACTTGGATGCTTGGACAGTCTGAGGTGGAAGAACAGTGTGGGACTGTGCCTCACCTTTCCAGGACCCTGTGACAATTCCTCTGTTCTGTCTTGTGAGCTTTCCTTTCTTAATAAATCCCTTTGCCCTTTAAGCAGACTCTGTGGATTTCTCACTTTACATGGTGCCCAATGTGGGGCACGAACCCATGACCCTGGGATTAAGAGTCCCATGCCCTACTAACTGAGCCAGCTGAGAGATTCATCTGGGAAAGGCAGGGCCTGAGAAATTTCTGTCTACTTGACATTGCCAGGACACTTCAGAGGAAAGATACATTAAAGGGTTAGTGCTGTAAGACATAGATTTTTTTCCACTAAATCTTTCCCTTTTCTTTTTCTTTTTTTCAGAGAGTCTTGCAGAAAAAGTTCTAATAAATTGTCAAAATGTAGTTTAAAAATTAAAAACTCATCAGTTTGTTTAGGTACCCAAGGGTGTGCTTAACGTTGTGCCCAGAAAGTGGAAAGGTTCAATAAATGGCAGCTGTTATCACTGATAGTGGTGACACTGTGTGTGTGTGTGTGTGTGTGTGTGTGTGTGTGTGTGTGTGTGTGTGTGTGTAAGGGCTGGAGAAGTGAAGCTGAAAGTGAAGGAGATGAGAGCATGGAGTCGTCCCTGAGGCAGTGGCTCGGAAGGGAGAGATGAGGAGGGTTGAATGGAGGGACTGGGGGGGACTTTGGAATGAATGGCTTCAGGTTCACATGGAGAAGATGGTACAGAATTGTGTTATCTCTAGGATAGTCAGGGATGTCGCCAGTACCTGAGTTGCCATAAGCCTGGTGCTGTGGTCAGCTGGTGCTGCGGCCAACATTGGCATGGTCTTTAAACGCATGGCCTGGGCCAAGGTTCAGGGTATGTTTAAAGTTAGGAAGAGCCCTAGATATCTCTTAATTCAGTTCCTTATTAGCAGGTTAGTCAAATAAGAGTCAGAATGCCAAACATTTTATTCAGGATTATCAGGCACATGCCAAGTGAAAACTTGTTTGTTCAAGGTAACTTGAAATTCTCACACTGAGATTTACTTATTCTTTGAGAATTTCATAGGTGAACGCAATGTATTTTGATCATATCCATACCCCTTTCTAACTCCTCCTGGACCTACATCCACACATCCCCTTCCCAACCAGAGGGTCCAATTATCAGTGCTCATATCACACGGATATGGAACCACACACTGAAGCATGGACAATCTAGCAGGGAACCACACCCTTAAAGAAAAATGACTTGAGGACACTATTTTGCTTATGAATAATTACTCTGTATGCATGCTGATTTGCATACTTACTTTGCATATTGTTGTCCACACCCTAAATGTTTGTGCATTGTGAAATCATTCTTTTGATTGAGTTGTTGGAAACTGAAACATTAATATAGCACATTAGCAGACATTAAGAATTTGAAGTATCTCCAGTGCTTTATTATTACATAAATGGCTTCCTTATTATTATTCCTATTAGTTATTACTAATTATTTCTTATAATAATTACAATTAAAATTAAGCAACAAGCAGACAACTAATTGGTGTAATATGACTGCATTTTCATATGTAAGTAAAATGTTCTAAGAGAAAATTTTATGTCAAAGTAAGGGAGAAAACAATGCATTTATAGAAGTAGATTTTTTTTTTTTTTTTTTTTTTTGGTTTTTCGAGACAGGGTTTCTCTGTGCAGCTTTGCGCCTTTCCTGGGACTCACTTGGTAGCCCAGGCTGGCCTCGAACTCACAGAGATCCGCCTGGCTGTGCCTCCCGAGTGCTGGGATTAAAGGCGTGTGCCACCACCGCCCGGCCTAGAAGTAGATTTTAAGTGTCATCATAATAAAGGTATGTGATGTGTCAGTTTAATTTAGTCATTTCACAAATATGCAAATTCCAAGACATTGTAGTATATAAAATAAACATGTGTGAACATTACTTATTAAGTAATAATACAAATGGCACACACACATACAAAGTTTCCTCCTAAGAAGCATATACTTAAATAAATCAGTTCTCTGATCCCACGTTGGTGGCCACACTTGCCCCTGCCCACTATTTCCACTAGGGGGCAGTGCTGGTCTTCAAATGGATGTCACTGCTTGGGTGTCTAGGGCAGAAGCTCAGCTCTCAGAGGGAAGTGGTTAATGAAAGACCAGATTGCCTTGAATTGATAGGGCACGGTGTAGATTTCAAAGGAGTTTCTTACGCATCATCTCAAGGAAGCTGGAAATAGGAAAAGGAGAGATTTCCTTTCGTGTAATCTAGGTTATTGTTGTTGTTTTCTACTTGACCCAAACTACTGTCATCTGGGAAGAGGAATCCCAGATTGAGAAAATACCTCCATCAGATTAGCCTCTAGGCAAGTCTGTGGGGGCAATTTCTTTAGTTATGATTGATGTGGGAGGGCCCAGCCCACTGCGGGTGGTGCCCACCTTGGGCAGGTGGTCCTGGGAGAAATAGCTGAACCTGAGCTTGAGAGCAAGCCCGCAGGCAGCACTCCTCCATGGTCTGGGTTTCAGTTTCTGGTTACTGGTTCCTGCCCTGCTTGAGTACCTGCCTTGGCTTCCTTGATGGACTGTGATTTCGGGGTGGTAGATGAAATAAACTTTTCCCTCCTTCAAGTTGCTTTTGGTCACAGTATTTATCTTGCGGTAGTCCTGGGTTTGATTTCCAGCACCCACATAGCAGCACATAACCATCTGTAACTCCGGTTCCAGTGTATGAGACGCCCTCTTCTGGCCTGCACAGGTACTGCACGAGTGGCGTGCTTAGACACCAGGAGGCAAAACACTCACATACATAAAATAAAATAAAATAAGCCTTAAAATAAAGAAATATTTAACGAACACCTATTATATACCAGGCTCTATGCTAGCAGCATGCATTACAGAAAGAACATACATTCTCAATTCTTATGAACTTTTTGGGGGGTGGGGTGGGTTGGGGAGTTGGTCCTAAGTAAATAATCATAAAATAGAAATTGTGTTAAAAATTAGGGAAAGAAACAATATACAACTACTGAAAAAGACTTAGTTTAAGCTGGGGTACTCTTTTAAAGAAACGACATCAAGTAAATACAAGAAAGATGAAAAAATATTTTCTAGGCAGGGGTATGATGAGGCATTCTTAGAGTGGAAAAGAATATAATTATGAATAAAGTATTTATATTTAACTCCAGGAGCTGTTAGTTTGTTTTATATTAATATAAGTTACCAGAGACTGGATATACTGAAAGGATTATTTTTAGCTAACGGTTCTGGAGATTCAAGAACAGAGCATTGTCCTCTTCTTCGGCGAGGACCTCGTGATGACGGCGTCATGGAGTGAGTGCCGTGAAAGGGAGAGATGGCATGGTGAGGTAAAAAGCCAGAACACTGAGGTGTCAGGATCACTCTTTTTTTCTTTTTTAAATAATAGTTTATTTAACTTTATTTTATGTGCATTGGTGTGAGGGTATCAGATCCCCTGGACCTGAAGTGACAGATAGCTGTGAGCCGCCATGTGGGTGCTGGAAATTGAACTCAGGTCCTCTGGAAGAGCAGCCAGTGCTCTTAACTGCTGAGCCATCTCTTCGGATCACTCTTAAACAACAACACTTTCAGAAGACTAACCCAGATCCCATGAGAACTCCATCGGTTCCTTCCAAGGGTGGTGCCCACAATGATCTAATCAACTCCCAGTAGGAGTTTCATTATTTCTGAGCTTTGTCATAGTAGTGACCGACTTTCCAGTACATGAACCTCTGGGGAACACACCTCAAACCATAACCAATCCATAGCAGGAAGGACGATTGTGGTGCCTTCAAGGGACTGGAGGATGGACAGATGGGATCAGGAGGCAGCTGATAAAACAGCGTATTGGGCTTGGGGAGGGACCTTAAATTTGATTCTGAGCATGAAAGGTAACCATTGAGAAGTTTAAGCAGGGAGTTTTTCTTATTTGTTTGCTTTTTGTTTTTTGTCGTTCTGGCTGGTGTGTGGAGGGTAACTGGTGATGGAATAAGAATCAGTATGAGAAATCATTTGAAAGTCACCCATAGTAATTTGGGGGAGATGTTAAGGTGAGTCAGAGCTGAGCTAGATGGTAGACAGTCTAAACAGCACCTGGCAGTGACTAGCTGTGGTAGTGAGTGGTAATGGGTAGGAGTGAATGGAAAAAAGAAGAACCAAGAATTGTTCTTGCACTAGGCTTTAATCTCTGTGAGTTTGAGGCCAGCCTGGTCTACGGAGCAAGTTCCAGGACAGGCTCCAAAGCTACATAGAGAAACCCTGTCTTGATACACCAAAAAGAAAAAAAAAAAAAAAGAATTGTTCGTGTAGTCGGAAATAGAATGGTCCCTAATTGAGGTCTACACTGTAATTGTCAGGAACTGTGAATAGATTCCCTTACACAATGAAATGGGCTTTACAGATATGATTGAATTAATGATAAACAATCATGATTCTGAGGAAGTTTTCTTAGAGCAGTAGTAGTGGAGAGCTTGGGTGCTGTGCCTTGTAAACACGTCCCTGGCTGGCCTAGATTTCACATTCTTTCTAATTAGCTCTTTTCTGCCACCCTCCAGGATCAGTTCAAGAGCCACGTTTTCTGGAGACCTTCTCTGACATGCTAATTTTGAATTCCCCGGTACCCTGTCCATGATCTTTAGTCTCCAATGAATACATCTTCTGTGGCATGTATGATGGGAAGTGGCTGTGTCTTCATTTGTTTTACGTTCAAGATCGAGCATGTGTGACATAGTTTGCACAGCTGTGCTTTTGAACGAATGGATGCGTCTTAGCTACTGGATTAGATTCCTGAGCACTCCAAACTCTCCTTTTCTCTTGGTAGGTGTTAGGGGTGGAAGAAACTCAGGACACATGGCTAGCTGAGGTGCCAATTGACACATCCAAGTGGACACTCAAGCACTACTAGTGCCTGTTCCAGAGTCCCGGCCCCTCTTAGCACTTCTCATCTAGCCCCCTAGCCTAACCATCTCCAGCCCCTGAACTTTTCGCTTCCTTTTCTCCAGCTTCTCTTTCCTGTGTAACTCAGCCATTTTGGCCCACAGTCTTGGCCTCTTTGTCCATGTGCTCGTCTTGGTTCTTCTCCCCGTCCTGGTCCCCTCTCTTGCTCCTCCCTCTTCTCTTCCTCTTTCACTCCCCCTCTCTTTCTCATGGCCCAGTCTATTTTGCTGACCATGCTCAGTCTGGACTCTTCTAGATGTCTCTGGCTGTATTCTCCCTCTTATCTACAATAAAAAAACCTTCTTCTCAACCATACCCAGGAGCTGTCGTGTCCTCCTTTCCATTCAGCAGAGTCCTGGGATTGGTTGTGAAAAGATCTGATCACGGATACTCAGATGCACAACAAACCCTTGCCATGGTTCAGCAGCCTTGTCCCTTCTCCGACAGCTGTCTCTGCTGCCCCTGTCCCCCATCTTCTTCATGCTGGGAGGCTTCTCTAACGCTTACAGTGTTTATTACCTCCTTAAAGGGGCTGCTCATTTCACCCTTTGCCTTCTCAATGCCAGAGGACCAGGGAGAACGATGGTTCCACTGCTCTGGTTGTTCGGCATTTAGACGGCTTTCCCCACCTTCCCATTTGGAAGCATCCTCACTGGTTAGGGTCTAGTCCCTAGTTATCTACGAGGGCTGGGGTTGCTACCACTGAAGGAAAGAAAAGGACTGAAGGCAGAGAACTAACCAAGCTTCTAGCACATGGAGGGCCCTGGGCGTCATGGATACTCTTGACCTTTTTGGCTCAACTGAATCATTTTCATTTTGTTTACAAAGTGTTTAAAATAATCATATAATAATTGTACAAAAGAGTTGGTCTCATTTGCATTGTCATACAGTGGCAGTGAATACGTTCTGAGTCTTAGTCCCCAGCATTTCTGGGTTCACTTTGGGAGGTACTGCACTTACTTATTTGGATATGACTCACTAATTTTGTTGCTTAACCAGCACTTATTGGGCTTTAGCAATCTGTGTTGAAAACCTTGCTGGGGTGGGGTTTATAGTGATGCGTAGCACAGGCCCAGTCCTCTCCTCGCTACTATTATAATCTAGTTGAGATTTACACTGGGATACAATTTAGCATCCCAAAGGAGTCTCAAAGTATATAGACTGAGAAAGTTTCTCTTATAGAGACTCTTGATATGAAAAGAAAGCCTGATTCTCAATGTCTGAGGAGGGGCACTTCCCCCTGAGGCGAATTCTAAAGTGTGTTATATATCAGGGCAGGGTTTATTTAGTAGAGTCCCACTGAAATGGCAAGGGATCAGGCCTCAGATCTTGAAAAACACTGGCGTTCAAATCAAGAAAGATGCTGAAGCTGCTATTCAATGGATATGAGCAATCCACAAGCACACCATGAATTTCCCCTTTCAGTAGAGTACTAAGTGATGTCAGTTGGTATCTTAGTTAGGGTTACTATTGCTGTGATGAAACTCCAGGACCAAAGCAACTTGAGGAGGAAGTTTATTTGGCTTATGCTTCCTCACCAATATTCATCATGGAAGAAAGTCAGAGCAGGAATCTGGAGACAGGAGCTGATGAAGAGGCCATGGAGGAGTGCTGCTTACTGACTGGCTCCTCATGTCTTGCTTAGCTTGTTTTCTTACAGAACCCAGGACCACCAGCCTGGGGTTGCTCCACCAACAATGAGCCGGGCCCTTCTCCATCAGTCATTAATTAAAAAAAAATGCCTACAGGTCTGTCTGTCTATAGCCTAACCTTAGGTTGGCATTTTTTCAATTGAGGCTCCCTCTTCTCAGATGATTGTACCTTGTGTCAAGTTGATACAAAACTAGCCAGCACAGTTGGGATCTAACTGGTTGAGAGATACAATTCAATGTATACTGGAAGGACAAGGTCTTTAGTAGCAATTACAAAAGAGTTGGGAAAAGCAGGAGACTTAGAGATGTGTGTTTGGACACACTGCCATCACCTGGCACATAAAATAACTTTATGGGCCTCATAGCAATTTTGATATGATTTTTGTTGGACTGGTTGACTTTTGTTAGATTTCTGTTGGAAGACATATCTTTAGTATATAAGAACTGAGAACCAATATCAAGGTGGAAGAAAATAAAGTCAGGAAAGATGAGAAATAATAAGGAGATTGTGAAACTTCCTTTTATTTGGGAATCTTGTTTGAGATGACTTCAAAATTTCCAAGATTGAAACAATTTAAAGCTAGAGAGCTGGGAGCTCTCTACACATTGTGTATCTTTAGTAAATGTAAGCTTGGGGGAATTATGGACTTTTTCACCCACATTACTCATATTGGTCTGAGCACACCCACACAATTGAATAATAATTCTGACAAATTTAGATAGTTTGCATCAGTAAGAAAGTTTATTGAAATTCATTAGTAAATGAGAAATTCATTAGTAAATGAGAAAGTTTTCTTTTTTTCTCCACAAAAGAACACTTTCTGATAAATGAAAAGAAGAAATACAGAAACCACAAAACACCTTGTAGACCCTTAATTTCAAGGAGTGAACCTATTTCCATAGACCATTAAGACAGAAGTGTTTTCTTGGACATTTTGTTTTCCACACGTCTGTGCAGTGGCCTGTGCAAAGAGCAGCTTAATAGAAGTGTTTCTTGGTTTCTGATTCAATCATAGACGAAAGGACTCTACCGTCAGGTGTCACCTCCTCAATAATCGTCTTGATCACTCTGGTTTTGTTAGTATCTGTGAATAGAAAAAAAAATAGAATTTAGACGAAACGACTTGTAGGGATCCTAGCTTAACTAACAAGCTAATATTACAAAACTAAGATAATGCATCTTTTCCAAGATGTCCTAAAAAAAAAAAATCCAAGCTGTAGATTTTCCCAAAACTCTACTAAAAACACAAACGGAAATCTAAATCGAGATTTTCATTGTTTTAAAATCAGCTCTTGAGTTTAAAGAGCAACAAAACCATTGGAGAAAGTTAAATCTAATTCAGATTACCCCAGCTAGTTTCTGCTGACCTTGGTCCTTTAGACGATTGGTCGCCACCGGACCCGGAGGACTTGAATCCTCCGCTTCCGCTCTGGCCTCCGCCGGAACTTCCGCCGTGACCGCCACCGCTGGAACTTCCGCCGCCGTAGCCACCACCGGAACTGCCTCCGTGGCTGCCGCCGCCGCCGCCGCCGCTGGAGCTTCCGCCGCCGTAGCTGCCGCCGCCGCCGCCACTGGAGCTTCCGCCGCCGTAACTGCCGCCGTGGCTTCCGCCGCCAGAACTTCCGCCGCCGTAGCTTCCACCGCCAGAACTTCCGCCGCCGTAGCTGCCGCCGTGGCCGCCGCCGCGTCCGCCGCCGTAGGATCCGCCTCCGGAACTAAATGGAGTGTGAGGGTCAAACGTGGTCACTTCTAGCGTGGAAGCGTCAGGTTGCGCTCCAGATTAATATTTTGTGAAAATACAACCCAGTCGAGTTTGTCTATTAATACTCATCCATTTATCCATCCATAAATATGTATGCACACAGCCCTAATTCCTGAAAACATCACTGCTCCCCTCCTGCCTCCTCGCCCCACCCCCTCTGGCTTTTCCTTGGGTTTGGAGAAGCTTGGCCATGTGGACTTTTGAACGAAACCAATGGGGGAACTTTGCAGGTTTCCAACATACCTTCCCTCGCCTTCCAGCAGGCTGCGGTAGGTTTGGATCTCGTTCTCCAGTCTGGTCTTAATGTCTAGGAGTTGTTGATACTCTGCGTTCTGGCACTCGGTCTCAGCCCGAATCTGTTGCAGCTGTTCCTCCAGGACGGAGATCTGGCCTTGGATTTGGGAGAGCTGCACGCAGTAGCGACCTTCTGTTTCTGCCAAGGAGGCTTCCAGCGATTGTTTCTGAGAAGAAGGTTTTAGTTAAGTGTAGTGAAACATGGAAATGCTTCAGTAAGACGTCATAGAAGGAAAGTGGATAGAGTTCCTGTTTAATGGCAGTACTGCAGTTTGAGCATCACTGCCTCGTGCTAACAGTTCTTTCCCCGCCCAAAGCTGCGATTTCGTTCCATTTTCTTGCACACCCCCTTCCGCCCCCGCCCCAAACTCATTTTTAGCATGAAATAAAATAAATGGAGCCCATTTTACAAGGTTTAACATACCAGAGCCAGTTGGGACTGTAGTTCGATCTCCAGACCCTGAACAGTACGTCTCAATTCAGTAATTTCACTCTTATGGCTGGACATTTGTTCAATGTTGCTGTCGATTTCTGTGGTGAGTTCCTTGCTCTAGAGGATTAGAAACGGGAAAAGATGAGAACATCCGTGCATGATAACAAAATCTCCAGGAGCTTCGCTTAGAAGGGCAATGAACTTGCCTTCTCATTGAACCAGGTTTCTATATCCTTGCGATTCTTTTCTGAAAGTTGTTCATATTGGTTTCTCATGTTGTTCAGTTTTTGAGTCAGGTCAACTCCTGGAGCAGCATTCATTTCCACATTCACGTCACCGGTGGACACGTTCTGAAGGTCTCTCATTTCCTATTGGAAGAGCAGTTAGATTTAATGAATGCACCATGACCAAGATGAACTTTTTAGTGGGGGAGGAGGGAGGGAAATGTAATTTTGTGTCACCTCTTCATGGTTCTTCTTCAGGTAAGCCAGCTCTTCAGTCACACTCTCAATCTGCATCTCTAGGTCAGCCTTGCTAAGGGTCAGCTCATCCAGCACCCTGCGGAGGCCGTTGATGTCGGCTTCCACACTCTGGCGCAGGGCCACCTCATTCTCATATCTGAAACAAGCAGGACACAGACACTGGATATACAGGAGAATGAAGGTGTTCCCGGACAAAGACTGACTAAAATGCAAAGACAGATTGGATTTCATATCATGGCAACATTTGTAATACATGAATTCATGTAGGAATATTAATAGTTTGATACAAAGAGTTAGCTGTTACTTTAAAACACATCTTCCTTTAAAGATTAACCCAAAGATATTATTTCAACTAAAAACCTTCTTTAACAGCTCAGAACTGTTTCATGCTGGATGAGTTCAGGAAAATATAAATGCTGTTCTGCGCATTCAAGGTCATGGTTAAAAACACCTGCTTTATTTGTACCACATCCACTTAGCTTACTTCAGCCTGAAGTCGTCAGCTGCCAGCCTGGCATTGTCGATCTGCAGCAGGACATTGGCATTGTCAGTTGTCAGGGTGAGGATCTGGAGGGAGAGACAAAGATCAGGTGGGTTGATGGCCTTTAGAGTAGCATAGGTTTATTACATTTTTATATAGTTCTCTTCCAGAATCTTGGAAGGAGGTCAATTTCAGCACAGACTATTACAGACTGGCCCATATAACAAATATGTTCCCGTGTAGTTTCTGTGCTTTTCTAGCCATGATTCCTTTCTGAACACTGGCTGGGATTGTGTAGGTATATTCCTGCAGTCAGGACTCTCTCCTTTACAGTTTGGGAGTTTCCTGTGTTGCAGCTAACTTTTGAGTGACTCACGTCTGTATTTGTTTAATTTGTTATAAATACTTCTAAGTGCATATACCCTGAATTTATAGATATATTTGATGGAGTCCCTAGAGATGAGTATCTCATTTCTATATTGGAAAGTTGGTATTTCTTGCAATGTTGGTGCTGGATATGGCTTACTTGTTATCAATCTCAATGATATATATACATATACATATATATATATATACACACACACACACACATATATATACATAGGATCTAGCATATTTTAACTGTGAACTCATATGTTTATTAAAACCGGAAAGGTTCTCAGTCATCTGTCATCCTGGAAGACAAGGCAGCACACATGCTGGATGAAGATAGACATAGCATGCCTTCATCACTGTCTCGGAGGAGACTTGGTTACACTAGACACGACAAAATAGCAGGTAGACACAGTAATCAGCTGTACTATACTTAGCTTAGTTTCATCTGTCTGCATTACACAGATAGAAGATTTAAAGCTGGAATTTAAAATGCCCCTTACCTGGTTCTTAAGTTCTTCAATGGTTTGATAGTATTTGCTGTAGTCCCGGGGCTCTCGCTGGCTTGAGTTGCCATGCTTATCATACCACTCTTTGATTTTACCTTCCAGCTCATAGTTTGACTCTTCCAGAGCCCGGACTTTATCCATGTAGGAGGCCAGACGGTCGTTCAGGTTCTGCATGGTTACCTTTTCATTTCCAGAGAGAAGGCCGCCACCATCTCCTCCATATCCACCACCAAAGCCTCCTCCGTAGCCACCTCCACCAAAGCTACCTCCACCGAAGCTGCCTCCTCCATAGCTGCCTCCTCCATAGCTGCCTCCTCCATAGCTGCCTCCTCCAAAGCCTCCACCAAAGCTGCCTCCTCCATAGCCTCCACCGAAACTGCCTCCTCCAAAACCTCCATAGCCACCTGATGAGCCCCCAAAGCAACCTCCACCAGAGCTCCCACGGCTAAAAGAGCCACCGCTGAACCCCCCTGAGCTAAATCCCCCACCATGGGAGCTTTTGGTGCTGGAAATTCTGAGGGATGATCCTCCACCACCTCCTCCTCCTCCTCCACTGCGGGAGGAAGAGTGCTGCTTGCTGGAGCTGTATCGAACAGACATGGTGGTGTAGTGTAGCCCAGGGAGTGCCTGCTACCAAGGACAGTGACAAGCCTTTATATACTGAGAGGGCGTGTCTCTTAGGTCCTCGGGTTTGCTTGCTTGTACGGTTTTCTTTTTGCCAGCTTTGCATCTTTGGCTGATGATTGCATAAATTATCTGCAGTAATAACCAATACCTTTTCAATGCTCTTGACTTTGCCCTGGGTACCACAGAAGATTTGCTGTGTTGAAACTGAAAATGGGTGGGGTTCAGATGAGTACACTTTACCTTTTGAAGACCATTGAGTAACAATTTTTCTAATGCTAATTTAAAGTTGTACTCAGTATTGGCTAAGTATGAAAAGTAAAAGAAATCTGGTTACAGATTGAAGTTGAAACAAGAATTTTTCAGATTCATGTTTTAAACAGCTTTCAGAATTGCAGTAAGTAGCAAGTGTGCTGGGATCATGCTGTAATAAGGACCATGAGACTAAGTAAACAACAAAAATAGAATATGCTGAACTATTTTATTAGTGTTGAAAAGTTGTCACATTTACAAAGCACAATTTAGGAAATATTATATATATAATGTATTATATATACACACACATATATAATCTCTTATGTAGAGGTTTTTTATTTGGTAAATGAGAGTATATTCATATTTTTGCCTAGGAAACTGTACACAAGGAGTGACTAAGGAATCTTCAAATGCAATGATGCCATTATTTTATCTATGAAATCACCAAGCTATTCTGGGTTATTTCCTACTTTGAAACTCATGGTTAAGGTCCATGTGAAGATCACCATGTAGCAATTCTGAGCACAAGAATGCAGAACTAGTCCACAGTGCTTTAAGCTCTGACTGATTGCAAAGGGAGAATTTGGGTCTGTTTTTCTGCAAGTACAAGTTTTCTTGTAACAGTGTAAACCCAGATTGCAGAGTGGCACCTGCTTTGGGACTTAGCACGAGACTTGCACCTCTGTTCTCAAGCTAGATTTTCCTTCTCAAGAAACAAGCAAAACACATTTCCCTGGATCCATTGTGCACAGATTTCAGCGGGACGGCATCTAGTGAAGTATTTAATTGGGACTTTACATGACATAAAATTATTTTATATCTACCCTTAGGCTATGACATCGCTCTTGTTAAAATATGTTATACATACATTTATATGTATAGATTCACACATGTTTTAGAATTATGTAATGCTTTTTGAGCTAGGGTGATTTAAAAATCTCTAGAGTAACCCACTGACATAGGGTTAGCAGTTACTGTCTCAATTTTGTGTCAGGAAGGTGGAGCTGAGAAAGGCGGCGATTTTTCCTAAAGCTGCCTGAAATGTGGTCGAGTCTTGGCTTTGCCTTTTTCTACTGTTCCACTCTGTGTATACATTCTCTGCTGCGGTGCATTTGGTGTTAGACTCCAATTCCCACCACGTGCTTCTCCCCATGGGAAAAAGCAAAACCAAAAGAAAATGGAAGCAGGAACATATTGAAAGCACAGGGACTTGGCATGACTCCATTAGTAATTGCTTTTTCAAATTAAATTTGTAGCTGCACATCCCACAGAACGAGAGCTACAGAAATAGTTTCTGCAGGGAAAGGGGTTGAGGGCATTAATGAAGAGTTGCTTGTTGGGCTGCAGGTTACTACCAACAGATTGCAGCGCCTCTAACTTGTCAGCACCTGCAAGTAGGGCAGCAGCTGAAAGAAACAAAAGCCCTACACATGGGAATTGATTCCTGTGAAGATAACAATGTACAATACATGGAGGCCGTGACAAATCAGGGGAAAAAGAAGACTCTGACAGGTTCAGAGAGGTGAAGCCTGGCTCTTGAAACTCGATGGAAAAAGCAAAGAGCATTTGATTTTACTGATAATCACCACAGATTTGGGGTTTTGATTTTCCTTGGTTTACTCTGGCATTAGCTTTTAGTTTTCTGTGCCAGTGAAAAGCACAAAACCCTAATCTAGTTTAAGATTGATTTAAAAGGTAGTTTGGAGAGAGCTACCTTTCTATGGAAGCAAACCTGTGTCTCTGATTGCACTTACTGGTGGAATTAAGTCTTTGGCATGAGCAAAATCACAGAGGCACCATGTGATAATTCTGCATGAAAATGTATGATTCTAGTCCTGCCCTCATTTGCATGGGGTTGTCATGACCCACCTCGTCATCTCTTTGTTCTAATTATCATTGTGTTTTTGTGTAAGGCGTGCGGAGATGTTCAAAATGTGGATGAGATTCAGTTCCTGGCCATAAAGATCTCTCCAGTCATTGAAGTCTGATTGAAGGTAAATGCTAAGCGCTGCAACTTCAGTGCTACATGAATGGTAAAGGCGTGTGGGGGCTGGAGGAGCCCACTCTTCCTTAGCATATGTGGTGTCTGTCCAGTATGTCCAATCTCCCCCCAGTTCTCTAAGATCTGCACCTTGGAAATGTACAGGAGTCATCCCAGAGAAGCACAGCTAGCTGTGCTGAAGTCTGGTTTTGAATCAAGGATACAGTGACAGAGGCGATCGTTTCCATGACATTGAACTGACATTGTAAAACTGTCCCGGCCACTGGACTGAATTTCGCAGTACATGTGGACTCGAGCTGAGTCCTGTGAAGGATGGGTTGGAGTTTTCAGTGTGTGCAACAGTAGAGAGAGGACTGTTCTGGGAAGTGAGGACTGAAAAACACCAAGCAGGTGGAGACTGGAAGGGGACCAGTTTGGCTGGAACACGTTCATGTTCATATTAATTTATTCATTTCTTCAACAGGTTTAATTGAGCACCTGCAATATGACCTTAGTCACATAGGTGACTAAGATATAATTCCTGCTCCTCAAGGGGTGTAGAGTGTCCCTGGAGAGGCGAACAAACATACCCATGGATCAAGGCATGCGACAGAGCAATCTAGGCTGTATTTGAGGATACAGACAGACAGAATGCTAAGAGAGTGCAGAATAGGATTCTGAGAGTCGTGTGAGAGAGTTGAATAGCTGAGTAATTGTGACAAGGTATTGATAAGGTCCATGCCTGTTCATTGGGAAACTTTAAAATTCAACAATCTTAAATCTGCAGATAATCTTACATCATCCCCCCCCCCCAATGTCTTCGTCTGTTCTGAGATGGAAACTGCCTGATAACTTTGGAGGGTAGTGTAGATTCAGTGGGTAGGCTCTAGAGTCGGACTGCTTGGATTATAAGCCAGGTTCACTGTTAACTGTGAGGCTTGGCCCTTGCTTCCTCTCTCTAAAGTAGGAATAATAATTTTGCTTACTCTATGGAGTTACCTTGGGAGCCTAATGAGCTAATAAATATCAAGGATTAGGACAGCAGATGGCAGGTACAGAAAAAGAGCTTGGCAAATACTCGTTTTTATCACTGATTTCTGTTTCTTACAGCCTAACTCACTCAGGGCTGCAAAATATGAGAGAATGGGGAATGGAGACGGCTTAGTTACTGAAGCACTTGTACTTGCTGAGTCAGTCCCTCAGAATCTGTGAAAAAGCCAGGCATGATGATCCCTCCAGAGCTAGGAGACAGACAAGAGGATCCCTGAGGCTAGCTGACCAGCCAGTCCAGTTTATTGGTAAACTCTAGGTCCAGCGAGAAACCCCCATCTCAAAGATAAGGTGGACAGTGAGGAAGACGCCTGACTTTGACCTTTGATCTTCACAGGCACGTACATACAGGTACATATACACATGAACATGTACACACACACACACACACACACACACACACACACACACACATACACACACACTGAAAGAATGAGAGGGTAGGGTTAGAGGGTAAAAATTGGCCAAGGAGGAGAGCAGAGGGGGAAGGATTTTGAGCCTGCCTACTTTATGATGAACTTGCCGTCCATTTTTCTGTGAGTGACACTTGCTTCCATTGTTTTTTATAAAACTCATTTATCCATTTCCTGCCACCCAACAACTCACTGATTTTATTATATCTTGCTGCCAATGCTCTAAACTTGACTTTCAAGTATTTTTCCCAGGATGAGTTCACCAGCTTCTGAAGTCTTTTTTTTTTTCTTTCTTTTTTTCTTTTTTCTGGCTCCTCGTTGTGTCGATTGAGATCTAGTCTGTTCACTGGGGCATGATTAATGCTCGGGAAGCAGCGCTGTCATCGCCTCATCAGCATGCTTGAGCATCTGGGATGGATTAAGTCTTTTCTCTAACCTGGCTCTCCCCTGTCCAGCCAACCCCGTGCCCCCTGCGGTGAGGGTGGCGGGGTGGAAGGAGAGCTGTGTTCTCATGAAGTAATTGCGTGGCCTGGGGGCAAGACACTCAGCTTTTCTGTGTTTCAAGTTATTATCCCATAAAATAGGGAGCCTAATGATACTAAATACTAAAATACGAGTAATATATAAGTCAACGAAAGAATTGAGCATTTCCTAAAGTATTACTTAATTACAAGCAGGCCTTCCTTTTCACGTTCAGTCGAAACACTGTACGTGGTTCCATCTTGAGACTCTTGCCTGTTGCTCTTGTTTTAGAATAGCATTCGTTCTTCCCTGAGGACATCTCGCACCATCCAAATCATTGTACCTCAACTTCGGACTGTGGCTGGGATGCCTTCTCATTCATGAGTTTTCTCACTATTAGGCCAGCTTGTGGCTGTCTCTCTCTTAGTTCTTCTTTGCACTGAGTTTTGTGATGCTACGTGCAGACCTCGTTTTTTTTTTTTTTTCCCCCCCCGGAGGAGATTGGCCATTTGACTTCCTTAGATTCTTGGCACACCTCATAGAAACTCATTGTTCTCTGGGGAGTTCTGAGTGCCTTTCCCCACTTCCTTTCCTTTGCTTTTGTTCTCTCAGCGTTTGTCCTGGACGTGTTGACACTCTTGCAAGCTGAAAACTGAAAGGCTAGTCAAAAGTTGATTCTGCTTGGTAAAAAATTATGACGCTCGTGGGTGTGAAAATGTTTTGTAAGAATAAGAAATCCAAGATTTTACATGACATTCACAGGATACCTCTGGGGGAATGTGTGTCTGAGAGTAGGAGAGTAGGGCCCTGCATTTCCCCTCTTCAATCAAGTCATTTGTTTGGTCTGCTGAGATTGTCTTGATACTAGTAAACTGCTGAGATAAGTTGTTGTATTATGAAATCTGAATTTGGGGCACTTGCTGGTTGGCCTTCTCTGTAAGTACCCCCGTGAGTGTGTAGTGAAGTAGGATTCAACATGGCACGATTTAGCCTTTGAATTTCTCTTGTGTATGACAGGATTTTTCTTTTGGTCAAGCTGACACCACTCCGTGAAAGACAGCTGCCTACTACGAATAAGCTGCCTTTGGAGGGGGAAACAGTGACAAAGGACAGAAAGTAGAATTATGATATCCATTTTGGTCTTCATAAGAAAATAGAAAAGCTGAAGGAACTGAATAGACCAAAATCGACCTGCGCAAACTCCAGTCTTAGAAGACTGAAGGTGAGCAACGTGTCAAGATGTCAGAGCTGTTTCTCATGCTCCTAAATCCACAAAATTCTTTTAGGACTATTTGTTGTGGTCCATCCATGTTGATAATGTAAAGAATGTCTGGGTGTAGACTGTAGTGCTACTGAACATAATCTCTCTCTCTCTCTCTCTCTCTTTCTCTCTCTCTCTCTCTCTCTCTCTCACACACACACACACACACACACACACTTATGGAGTTTATGCAAATTTAAATAGAAGAGTGAGGGTTTGGCCTTAGAAATGGGACATAGGGGTTAAACTACACAGTAATAATTTCCTTCTCTAGCTATTTTAATTAAGTATATAAAGTGCAAATTGAAGGGAAATGATATGGAATAAAATTAATCTCTTAATGTTATTATTCAGAAAATTCCTAGATGCCTGACTTAAAAAAACAAATGACTAGTTTCATAACAAATGTAGTTCTTTTTCTGAGTCATGTGTTTTCCCAAGTGGGTAAGAATTCAAGGACCAGACTTAAATAACTATTTAAATGTCATGCAGTGGTATCAGGGAAATTGACCATGACCATTCTGGCTCTACAGGCTTGGGGACAGATCACATCCCAAGATTATTTAATTTCTTGGATTAAAACCACTTAATAAATACATAGATCCTATTTGGAAAGTCAGTCCCAGACTGACTTGAGAGTTTCCGAGTCCCAGGTCCCGTGCTAAGCCCTTACCTGCAGTTTTGTCTCATCAGTCCTAACAGTGAATTTATGAAGTTTGCTCAAAAGTCTTCCATAAAGGGCTTTGCTGGAATTTCATCACATTTATTTTCTGAGCAACTCTTCAAACTCCCTTGAAATGACTTAACACTGTATTTTGCACATTGTGACTTAGAAAATTGAGTACATAGGGATTTTATTTTATCTTTTCAAACTAGACAAAGTTTCTTTACTATTGCTACTAGAAAAAAAATGGTGCTGTCTTGGAAAAAACAGATTGATTTGGACAGAAAAAGAAGGAATGGGTGAGTGGTGCTGTCCTGGAATGTCCTCGGCTCTCCCTGCACCTCTGAGGGCCCCGTCTGTTGGGGGTTTCTGGAGGTTTTCAAGTCTTTGTCAGGATTGTGCTCGGGCCCCAACGCAGTCATTAAATCGATGCAATTAGCTACCGTGCATAATTGCACTGCTAATCCTTTTATACTGCTGGTTTTTCCAGAAGCTGCTAGCTCCCATCAAGGAGCTTAATCCCTTTTCTTCAGGTTTTAACTCTTAAGTCTTGGGGAATACAGTGCAATCCTGGGTGCCAGTCTGACTTAACGTGCTAGCAAACCAGACCATGGAGCATATCTGCTGGCTTGGAATTCCTTGGCTTCTATAAATTTATTTTAGTTTAAAGGTGGGGCTAAGTAGAATTTTCTGGTTTTCCTTTTAAAAAAGGTAAGTAAATTTATTCTTTGACAGTTTCATACATGTATATAGTACATTCCGATGACTCTTATCTTTACCACACCCCCCAAGTCCAATCCTTTCCCACATTCATGTCCTTTTGCTTTGTTTAGTCAGGGCCGGCTGCGTGGCTATGGGTTTGGAACTATCCTGGAGCCTGATGGGCTCACCAGTGAGTACACAGCTGAAGGTGACTCCCAACTCTTCCAGACTCTATTGGCAGCCAGTAGGTCCAGGGTGAGGGGCAGAGCCCCACAGGCCCCTCCCCTCCCCAGGCCCCTCCCCTCCCTATCTTTGAGCAGGCCCAGTGCGTTAACAGCAGTTGCTCCGTGTTCGTGTTTGTGATGATGTCTCACAGCCATTTTCCCAGTTATTTGGCTTTTACATTCCCCCCCCCCCCCCGCTTCTTCCATGGTGTCCCCTGAGCCTTCGGGGGTGCTGTTGGTATAGATGTCTTATTTAGGGCTGAGCATTCCACCGTCACTTATTCTCCGAACCTTGAGCAGCCGTGATGAGTCTTTGCATTCATTGTGGTTCACTGCAGATAGATGCGTTTTCTGGTTTCGATAAATAGGTGGGTATTTATGGAGTTATATAAGATGTTGGACTTTATTTATTACAAATGGAGACCCTACAGTCGGTAATGTTGGCTGTTGTCATCGTCCGTCATACGGAGGCCATCAAGCACAAGAATAGTTCTGCTCTAGGCCCTGGGCTGGATCCCAAGCACTGGTGGGGGTGGGTCACTAGTACTTACTCTGCTAGACACTGTCAGGACTTTAGGTTCATTTTCCCATGCAACCCACTTAACAACCCGGGAGTCAGAAACTATTAGTCTCTGCTCACAGAGGAGGAGACTGAAGCTGGGGGGATAACACAAGTGATGAATTAGTGGTCCAGCTGGATGGACACCAACCTGTCACTAGACTGTGTAGTCTTAAATCCACCCTTTCATTGCCAGACCCTGAATTAAAATTTGCTTTGTGCTTTTAAAGTCTCCCTGCCGTGGCGAAGATGGCACCTTTTTATCATCACAGCGTGTTTTAGGAATGGATGACATTTACTATGTACAACTGAACTAAGTGGAGTTTTTAAGGTAGGCAGCTCTGAAGATATTCCTTTTGGCTTAGTTGGTATTTGAAGTGCAGTTTATGGAGCTGTTCTGGGCCCTGGTCATGTGCAATTATCATGCATGCTTCTTCATCCATGGTCTTCCTAGGCCCACATCTGAGCACACGCCGATTCTAGGTATCCAGGTGGACTTCAAACTAGTATCGGGGTGTACTTCAAACTAGTATCCAGAAGGACTTCAAACTAGTATCCAGGTGGACTTCAAACTAGTATCTAGGTGTACTTCAAACTAGTATCTGGGTGGATTTCAAACTGGACCAAGCTGCCTTTGGACCAACAGTGAAGTTGTGCTCGGTCTCACCCTGGTCTCCTTCCCCCTCTTTCTGTTGAACCTCTCTACCCCTCATCAGGCACTGTGGGCTTTCCTGTGTTTTAACTTCTCATTCATCTAAAGGGATGTGGTGCTGCTCACCGACCCTGGTAAGACACCGCCTATTCACTGTATGCGGCTCAGATCTTCAGCCTCCGTGTTTCAAGCTCGTTTCTTTTAATTGTGAAATGAAAGACTGTTCTCGGCAGCAGGAATTTCAGATCTTGCTAAGGAGGAGTGGGGAGATGTTGGACAGAAGTTTGCTGAAATCACACTCTGCCCACTTGAAAAACCAGCCTTGAGCAAAAGTACGGTTTTGTTTTTTAGGAACACATATGGTGGACTGGGGAGATGTCTCAGCCTGAAAAGTGCTCGCCATGCAAGGATCAAGACCCAAGTTTGGGTCCCTAGCATGGTATAGAAAGCAGGGCCTGGTGGTACATGGCTATAATCCAAGCTGTGTGAGGGTGGTGAGCAGGGAACCCCCTGTTGGTGATCTCCAGGTTCAGCGTAACCTTGTGAAAAAAAAAAAAGATGACTGAGGAAGATACCCTCATGTACATGTGTGTATTTGCACACACATGTATACATACACACACATATATACCACATACACACTTACATCCAAATAAAAAAAATTAAAAAACAACAACAGAATGTAAATGGTGGAGTAGATAGAGGAGGAGCCTCCCATTCCATACATTTGTCTCCCCTGCTCAACACAGCTTCAGGCTCCATGGGCTGGTCCTTAGAGTCAGCACCCAGGCATCCCTTCGGAAGTTCAGGAATTTGTCTCCTCTTCAGATTTCTTTGCCTCCTTTCCCTTTCCTGCCGCCCACTGTCTCCCAAGAATCTAAAATGCCCGCACATGGAGGCTCACCCCACCTCAGTCTGAGGCAGCCCAATCCTGCAGCCCGGGAATTGCTCTGCCATTTCTGTCTCAGCCTGCGGTGGTCCTAAGAACCCATGATTTTGCCGCAGGAGTCAACGAGACACAGAGGGTAGCAGCTGCATGCGCTGTTAATCCCCTGAAGGATGAGGAAGAAATGCAGGGAAAGACAGCCAAGGTTCAGCTGATGTCAGGCTTCCAGAGAGACGCAGAGCATCGGAAGGTATACTCAGGACAATGGTCTTTTTAGTGCTGGTGGATATGTTTCTGAAGAAGAGAAACATGCATGTATCAGAAAAGCCTGTCAATAAAGTCACTGATGTTGCTCCTTGATGTGATGTTCTCTTTCTAAATTACCTTGTTTGTCCTTTTGGGCGTGGGGATCCTAACAGCTACCCACGGTAGTCCCACTCTACCATACCTACACCTTGTAAATAGTCCTTTTATTAACCCCTTCCTGGCTACCCTCCATGTCTGTATTTCCAGTTGGTTTGAAAAGGACTAGGACCAGTACTGAGGTTTAGGTACACCACTGTGGACACAGGTGTGATGGGGCAAGAGAGTGCAACGATTCCACCATCTCATCTTCTTGCTGAGTCCATTTCATCTTCAAATAGAAGCTGATCTCCTTGATGGAGAATCCCACGGAAAGCTGCCCAACTCTATTCTAGGAACCAAAGGACAGGATGTCCTAGCTGACTTAGCTTCTGGTAAAACTGCCTGTTTGGGCAGAACTCCCTTCAGTGGGCTAACTGCTCATCTTAGCTTCTGGTAAAATGATTTGTGTCAACTGCTTACCCCCCAAAAACCTCCTCTGCAGCTGCCATGCAAGATGCCTCAACGGGGTCTCTGCCCCATGTTCTGGACACTTGGGGTCACACCTAGGTCCCCAAACTTGGTTGTGATCCCAGCAGGCTAGAATAAAGACTTTCAATTGGCTATACCTATGTCTGACTGGTCATCGCTGGTGAGCTCCCTGTAACACAAGAAAAGAAAATCGGAAACGTTTGGGGGTCCCAGAGGGAACACTGGGATGGATTGCCCTTCTGGAGAAGAGGTTTATTAGAAGGGCTATTAACACCATGCAAAGACAGACACCATAGATAGACAGATAGCCCAGTGAGGGCTCCAGGTGGAGTTCCGGGTTACCAGTGGAGTGGGAGTCCCTTCTTACAGGTCTTAGAGGAAGCGGGGGATTTCATACTGCGTGGTTGATGAGCAGTCCCACGGTACTGCTTATGTTAGACTGTCTCTGACTCCCATCGGCAGGGCATGGGTGGGGGGAGGGGAGTTCTTGCATTTCCAGGAAGGGAGGAAGGAAGGAATCATATTAATCTCTGACTTAGAGGATATGGGAGAAGTGAGTAGGAGGGATCCATTTAGCCCCTAGTGCCAAATTAACAAAAACAACAATAATTTTCCTATTGCGATGGTCCTGGAGTGGACAGGACCAAGAACATGGCAGTCTGTCTGCAGACTAGGAAAGTCTGGAATGGCCGCAATGAGATATGCTGACTTCCATTCTCGGCATCGGTGATAGCACATCTCCACAGCTTGGCTTGAGTTTCTCGAAGGTGTGCTGGTTGCGGGGCTCACAAGGCAGAAACAGCGGTGGATGCACGGCGGCGGCATGTTTGTTCTTGGGAAGCCTAGACTCCTCCCTTCCCTCGGAAAGTCAGCCAGCTCTTTGGTGTAGTTAAGGTGGGAGGGAAGAGAAAGTCTCAGGTGGGGTAAGGGTGGGTTGAGATGGAGTCGCCTAGGTGGCAGATGTCTTGGGACTGCAGAAACCAGCTCACCCTCCTTTCTGCACCTCCTTACCAGATGAAAGGAAAGATAATGGGGGCAGAGGGTGGAAACCGCTGCGGGGTTACAGGAGTTAGCAGGAGTTAAGAAACAGAGGACAATGAGCTCTTCCCCGGCAGAGCGGAGCCCCAGTGGAGAGGCGGGGCTGCGCTGAGCGTATGTGAGAGAGGGTGTTCCCTGCTCTGCGAAGGAAGGGAGCCAGCATCTACCTGAGTTTCCATCATTGATTTTAGATATTTGCTTTGCTGACTTCTTCTTTCTACAGCACCCCCCAAACAGTCAGCAATTAATCCTGTGTTCTGAGGTTGACACACCAAAGCCACATCCCAGTTTTGTTTGTCTCAGCTTCCATTTCCCTGTGGAGAATGCCGTGAGAATAGGCATTAGGTGGATTACCATCTGCTAGTCTAATTCAGGCTAAGGTGTGATTTACTGATGGGAGGGTAGGGTAGGAATGCAGAGGTATTCACTGAGGCTGTTTAGATTAAAAAAAAAATGCACCTTTAATATGAGTGGAATTTGGGGCACTGTGGGGGCAAAAACTTGAGAGAAGAGATTTTCTCTATTGTTTTAATTATCAATATAACTTGATCATAAGGTTTGCTGTAACAAGAAAGGCAAGGAAAGCCGTTTGCTGTCTCCAGCCCCTTGTCCCAAAGGGCAAGGACAGGAGTTGGCTCTGATTTCCTTGTTTTTGAATGATAGTTATTTTCTATTCCCTACACGTGTTATGTTAGACACCTTACTTGGCTCTGTAGACGCAAAGGTGAACGAGAGAGATATAGTCCTGACCTTTAAGAAGGCCAGCTCTTACAGGGGGAGTGCAGGGAATGAGACATGAAGAAATGCCAGCTGGATGAGAGCGTCTTAATACAGATTTGTATAGCACATGAGCATTACAGGCAACCGGAAGCTAGTTTCTGGAGGACTTAAGAAGAAGCCACGGAACTGCACCTTCAATAGGGAGTGGGAAGTCATTGCATAAAACAACACACTAGACAAAGAAGCCTCCGTGTATAGAGGACCTGGAAACACACAGGACCAAGAACTGAAAACTTTGGCTTGGCATAAAGTTGATATGCATGAGTTCCAAGAGATAAGCCTGAAAATGGGTTGGGACCACATTCAGAAGTTCTTTGCATGCCATTTTAAGCGTTTGGACTTGGTTCCAGAGTCATGGAGTGGACCTATGAGAGCCATCAAATAGGAGATGAGCATGGCCTTAACATTTAGAAGCTGAAGCTTGGACTAGACAGATTTTAGGGGAACTGGAGGTAGGAAGGCAAAATAGGATTTTCAAGAGTCTGAGGTTGGAAAAAGACCAAGAGACACCACGAAGATAGCAGTGGTGTGGGAAGGAAGGAGAGACAGGAACTAATGGCGGCATTTGACTGTGGCTGGTTACAGGTGGACGGTGGGGGAGTCTAAGATGACAAGCAGCTTGAGGAATCTCATTAATTGATGTGAATACCAAGGATGGGCACGCCTTGTAGGAAAGACAGTGAATTTGGGATAGGGAGATTGGAGACGAGGCACCCAGTGAACACCCAAGTCTAGCTATCCCATGGCAGTGCGTGTCTTGGGATTCAGGAAAGTGTATGTGGTTGTGCTTGGAAGCTACTGGCAAAGGGAAAGCATGGATTGTGCAAGATCCCCTGGGGAGAAAGAGAGAGAAGACCAAGGATACCGCAGCATGTAATATGTAAACAAGCCTGATGGGTAATGTGTGTGTGTGTGTGTGTGTGTGTGTGTGTGTGTGTGTGTGTGTGAGAGAGAGAGAGAGAGAGAGAGAGAGAGAGAGAGAGAGAGAGAGAGAGAGAGAGCATGAACCAGGAGATAGAAGTTACAAGAAAGCAAGAGAGCAGAGAATTTCCAGAAGAAGGGCTGGCCAAGAACATGAAAGATTCAAACTTGTGTTTCAATTAGGCTGTTCTGGAAAGATCCTATAAGTTACCATCGCCTTCTGTGACTAGGGAGTGAATCACTCCTAAGGTATTAACTAAAATGACACAGCCTCAGTCCTCATAATTTATAGGTCATTTAATCTGGCTACTTACGTAAAGCAAAAGGAGCCCTAAGACTGAAGCGAGTTAGGAGACAGCAGAAGGTTAAGGTGATGCACCGACGTAGCGGGTGAAGCCTTTGGAATGCCTCAGAAGGTGAAGACTGAATGGGGAGGAAACCCTCAAAGTCAGGGTTGGTTCAGAGGAAGAGCACCCAGTACGAGAAATGAAGGTGTGTCCTGGAAGCCCGAGATTGCTCAGGGAATCACAGTGTGGATGGAAGCATGGTAATTCGCCTGGCAGTATCCAGACAGAGGTTATTTGAGGTCGTGAGTTTCACATTCTACAGAGAGAGACCATGGGGAAGGAGGGCTGGGAGGAAAACATCTATGTTATTGCCACAAGATCCTTGGATATTCCGGAACAACATTTTTCCAGATAATTTAGGGCACAGAAGCTAGACCATTTATCATCAGGGAAGGAGAGGGTGGAGAGAGAGTGAAGTCACTGACATCTTGTGCTGTTAGAGCATCCCAAGTGAGTGTACACAACACAGGGACGGCAGGGAGGAAGCAGGTGTCACCAGGACAAGAATGGATGGGACACACTGGCAAACAGAAGTGGGCTGGATGTTAGAGTCTTCAAAGGTAGTTAGGAAATGTTCCCTTCCAGGAAGCAAAGAAAGGAAGAACCCAGGGATCCCAGGAGTGAGCTACCACAGGCAGGAAAGTGAAGAATGTTAGAAATAAGATCCACAAGGAGCCCTTGGGGAGGGTTTGGGAAGGCAGGTCTGTATCCACCCATCCCATGTAATGACGATGGGTATCTTGTCCTCTAGCTTCCAAACTCCCGAAGGCATGGCCTCCTGGAAGGATAGGATGGCATTTTACTTCTCTTTGTATCCTTTGAATCCCAATAAGACAAAATTTTGGAAGAGTAATTTAAAATTTATCATAGGGAATTTATAAAAAACAGACATGGTGTCATTTTTTAAAAAAACCCTACATTTTAGAAAAACCAACTGTAGAGGAGAATGGTGCAGGGGTGGGGAGGGGAGAGAAGGGAAGAGGGGAGGGAGGGGAAACTTTGATTGGGATGTAAAAACAAAACGAAAAATAAACAGAAAAAAAAGGAAAGAAAAACCAGCTGTGGTGAATGTTGGGAAAGAATGTTCTCAGGAAAGTATTCTTGGGTGACTGGGAAAATATAGCCCTCTTTGTTAAACTGGAACTACCATCTATATATCAGTATTATGTGAATGTAGTTGCCATAGCTTGGCATCAAATGTCAGGTGACCTCTAGGTCTGGCAACATTCAACTTATGGACCCGAAAATCTGAGGGACAGATTAGGGACCATGAGAAAATTTCCAAAGCGATTCTAATTTGTATCTTAAGAAAAGTGTCTTGATCTAGTCTGTGGACCAACCTTTGTTTGCTATGTCTGGTATTCCCCATACTTCCACTAGTGGGTTTAGGATTAATATTAGTAAGCATTACTTTAACTAGTTACTTGACAAAGCAATTCA